TTTTACGTCTTAAGACATTAAAAATCAACATGTTAGCACATTTATTTTCAACGGCTTAAGACATACTAATTTGGGTGCTACCACTTCATCAGTGTTCATAATTACCAGCACAAGTGGACTGTTCCAACTACTGCATTACATTTGTGCAAAAGACACATGATAGGTACATGACCAAACGTAGAACCAGCATAACCAAAAGGTGGCACTCACATGACCATAATGTAGGCTTATGTACAGCCCAACACAGCTCCTATGACACTATGGGATGAGTCTGTGATGCCAACCAATCGTATGAAAGCTTCAATCATCCAAACGTTTTAAGACATACAGATTTGACGTGTTGATTCAGAGGGTTTTGACCCCAATGGCATTCCATAAAACACAGCAAAAAGGACCCCCATTTGCATGGTATCCGTGACATCATCCATATTTACACATGGATTTCAGCACGTACACTGTGTACACATATGACTCACAGCGTTCCATACACCTCTCAGCCTACTAAACAAAATGAGCCCTCATGCGGGCCACTACGTGCAGGTCGCTGAATGGCAAGGCTTCTCGGCCAACCACCTTGTGACACAGGGACTGTGGCCCTTCCTTTTGATGGACTTCTTGACCACCCAATAACCTGCAGTCTTTGAAACAGGAAGAAACAAACAGCCAGTAAAAAGACAAGTTCAATGACATATCACAAGTCCCATCATATAGACCTTTGCTGCACAACACACAACTTCATGGCGCTGGTCACTGTCACTATGGGGATAGGTGGCTATTCAGCGGTGGGGGTGCGTTACATTTAAAACTTACTATACAAAGCAATTATAGCAATTATCATTTAATGCATATGATTACAAGAAGGACTGTGTGATATTTTAAGGAAATTACTTAATACAGATTAGATAGATAGATAGATAGATAGATAGATAGATAACAACATACATACACTCATTCATACATACATACATATATACATAAAATAATAGAATATGCAAATAAATACCCTTTGACTGACCACTTTTCCTTTCATTTTTCCATTTCCATTTTTAAATGTTTGGAAACACTCTTCTGCCTGGTACATGGTTCTAGTTTTTGTATTGTCAACCCCATAATTACAGGGTAGAAACCAAGTCCTGTGGAGGAGACCTACAGCTGCTTTCGGGTGATCTCTCTCTTTGTCTCAGGTGCAGAATGCTGGAAATTCAAGAGGATCAAATAAATGTAATTGTTCAAATAAACGTAATTGCATCAGGTGGATCAAAGAAGCTGGCAATAGATTTTTGCATTATTTCTTCTATCCAGTGAAGTTTCCAGTGAAGAGAGAAACAGAGCAAGAAGCCAATTCAGTAATGCATTAGTACTGATGAAAGTCTGGTGACCAGTCCACTGTCCCTATGCACTTGTTCCCTGATACAAATCACTATACATGCCTGACTTCTTTTCTCTCACCCCTTGTAAACACACCCATCCATGCCCACATTTGTATCCCTTCTGGAGACACAAAGTGTGGGTATTGTATGTGGCTCAGTAGGTTAGGACACTGTCTTAGTAATCAGATGGTTGTTGGCTCAAATCCATGGGTTTTGAGCCAACAAAACAGTCACTGCTTCAGAGACTGTCTGAGTCCACTTTTTCAAATAAAAACTGTTTTGCTTTGGGTAAAGCTATCTTCTAAATGAATGCTTTGGATTTTTCTAAGTCCCTCTGCAGTTTCATCATTCGTTATCACTCACGTGGTTAAACCTGCCTCTGTTCTAGTCCTAAAAATAAAGGTGTTCATTCCCCTTTTCACTCGCCCCTGTTCCACATGTTATAGTCACCTGCCTGTCTGCGACCATGAGGGGGTTATGCTAATGTTGTGGGCGTTTTGCAAAATGGCTCCCTTTTGCTTTACAAGTACTTCACAGGGTGTGGGGGGGGGGGAGTGTTAATGCAGATGATTCACATCGACACGCTGAAAACGAAACAGGTCAAACAACCTGCTTAACCCTGCTGCGTACCACCCAGGGATGAAAGCATGCGCCACAGCGCACTCAAAACAAAAAAAGGAGGGTTGCTTCAAATTGCAACCTTTTCTCATAACGTCAAGCTGCAATTGCATCGGTTGCAAAGCTTTGTGGTTTAGAAAAGTGGCCATTTTCATTTTAAGTGTTTCCTAGATGGGTAAAAACACACAAGCAAATCTGAATGGCATCCAAGAGCCACTGGTGGTTTGAACTTGCGGATGCCCTCCTCTTACTGGAGCGTAGATGTGGTCATTTTCAAAGTACAGAAAGCTTAAAGTCTCTCATCTGGTGCAGGGTGCTTTCACGTCTGCTGAGTGGACAGTGTAGGGAACTTAGTGGAAGCATATTAAGTAATTTGGGGAGGTGGTATGTGGTTGCTGTGCCTGTGATCAGAAGGTTGCTTGTTTAAATCCCAGAGTTAGCTCAGTGATGGAAAGCCCTCAGCTTCCAGTTGCTCTATGAACTGTCTGACTCTGCCTTCTCAAAATGTATGACATTTTGGGCAAACACTAAATAAAATGTAAGTCACCAGATCTACCCAAATCATTCTAACTTTGCACAAACCACTGTCACCTATCTTGCATTTTTGGCTCTCTGTTGTGTATCTTGTATCTTGTACTGTATGTATTCTCTGTTATACCCTAACTACTACTATAATTCAGGTCCAGAAAGTAAAAATCCAGACCAAGAATTTGTTTCACCCAATCAGTTGAGTGCTCTGTGACTGTGACTCTTTATATGCAACTGACTGAAAAAATATCTTTCAGGTCCTGAACTATCCACCTCTGCCTAACTGTTAGTTCTCTGTTGTCATGGTGTCTCCGGTAGTAGCAGGCTGTACCAAATAAAATTTCTGCCGGCTTTGGTCTTCTGACTCTGATATTTCTGCATTAGCTGGATTCTGTCCATAAGGCCTCTTTTCCATGGTGAATTTTATCTGGCCTGGTTACCAGCTCCAGCCCTGCTGGAGACCTCACCATAACATCGAATGTTTTTATTTGTGATCTAAACTGTTCCAGATGTATAGTGCGGATCGGTCCGACAGCAGGCTGCCTGAGGTCAGATTTACGGATGGATTGCTGGACGAGAGAGAGTGACAGAGAGTGGGAGAGAGTCCCGAAAGCTCCCCACGTCCTTCTTAGCTTTCGAGACCCAAGCAATCACGAGACCCTTGCGTGTCTGGCAATCACGGTGGCGTTTACCGTTGCTCGGCGGCTGGGGATGAAGTGTCCCAACTGCAGGCCGTCATTTAAATCCCTGCCGCTGCCGCTACGTCGGCTTCCAATCCCGAGGCCGGACCCCCCCCCCCGGCGGCTATGCCGCATTCCAAGCATGTCGCAGGAAGCCTGTCGGCACGCCATCCGCCCCCAACTCTGTGACTTTCTCTAAAGCCACTGTTATCCCTCCGTTCATCGTTCAATCTCCTCTTCCGGTAATCCAGGCCGAGATGCGGCGTCGCAGGGACGGCCTCGGCGAGCCGGGGGCCCGCGGCCGGCACAATCCCCGGACAGGCGCCCCAGCTCTCGCCGATCAGGGAATTTACATTCTCTGCTTATGCTTTTCAGCATCACTCGCCAAGCATGAAATTGAGAGACGGCACATCGCACCCTCTTTAATATCAACCCGCTTGTCTGTTCTCAATTCTTCTGCAGAGAAGTCAGGAGGATTTCTTCCCTTTGCTTTTATGTAGAAAATACCCTTGGATTGCTTCATTTTGCCCGTCACTGCTTCATTTCTTCGTAGCGTTTTCATATTATGATATTAAATATTAATTAGATGTCATTGGTGTATTGGATATTTACAGTCATTATCTACATCATGCTACATAACGTTTAGCCCACAGTGCATTAAGCTTTAAGCCCTGGCATGTTTGGGTGGGGGTAGATTCAGCCCCCTTTTCTGGAGCCTGATGGTGTCTCTGTTGCCCCATCTTCACACCGCTGATCTTTCTCGTGACTTTTTTCCGCACTTGGTCATCTTAAGTGGTGACAAACTGACATTTGAATGGGCTCGAGGGACAGATGGTGCGACGCCTCTTACCTGATGAATGCATTGTGGGAGCCACATGCAGGCATTGCCCGACAAGTGCTGGGGCTGTAGGGGGCAGCAGAGAGGCATTAAAACAGAGGAAGCTGGCACCTGTTTGCTCCCCTTTCCTGACAGGGTAGGTGGGTAAATAAGCACAAAGTGCTATTTTGGGCCTAAAAGCCTGCTGCATTGAAAGATCTCCGAACAGTCAAGAACCATGTAGAGCTGTCAGGAATGCCCAGGTTTTCTAAATGTTCTTATTACATAGTCCATTAAGAGAGATGTTTTCTTCTGAGCATGACCGGATTGGATATGTCATTTTTGTTAAGGAGAGCTTCCTTCTGATCCATTCTGAAATACTTGGAGCCTGGAATCTTCGAGAAAGAAGCTTCATAAGGCCTCTGTCTTATTCCACGATCCAGAGTCCAGAATTTAAGGTTTTAGTGTTCTTGTTCTTCCGTTTTCTGGTTTCATTTTAATCTCCACGCTATGGCTCTCTTTTCGATGGGTGTAGATGGACATAAACTATGAGATGTCAAGCTCAGAATGTCCTGTGGTGTCTCTCTCTACACATATTCCTCACACAGATTTTCAGACACAGACACAAGTGCTCTGAGTAGGCGCAATACTCAGTAAATTGTAACATCTAAATGCACTTTATTATATAAATTACAGGCCCATTTCCCACAGTTTTAAAGGTAATTTTAGACAACCTACTATTTTAGCCCTTGATTTACTATGCATGAGGATAGAGGGTTTTTTTTTTCTAGCTACATTTAAAAGCAAGTTTAAGTGTTCTATCATATGAAACTGTGGATTTCTTCTTATCTCCCTTCCACACTTTCATTGCTTTTTCCATTTTCTGGAAGCCTTTGGTCCAATCCACCATGATGAGGACGAGGTGTACTGCGGTGGAGGCAAAGGGATACACAGCAAGCAGGAATAAAAACGCCTGGAACTTCTCTGTTACAAGCATGTTTATCAGGACACTTTTATTTACAGCTCAGAATTACAGCGGACAGCTACTCTACACGCACAGTGGGGTCCACGGTACCTTCTCTCTGGGCAGAAACACAGCGAGTATCAAAACATCAGGACTCTCTGCAGAGTGGCGTTCAGAAAGCAAAGGCTCATTTACAGGGGACCGGCACGGAGGCGAAACCACCTCACAAATAAATATTCCGGAAAAGAATCAGAAATTATAGATTGTGTGCGTTGAGACTCTCAGTTAAACAATTCTTATTTACAGCCACACTCTTGCAAAACCATAGTGCTGACAGACTTTTTTCTGAAAAGGTTTAAAATGAAAATAAAAGAGTGGAGATGAACAAAAGTGGACATGCAAGCTATGGTTGTGACGTACATAAAGGATGCATCTGGGTCAGTGTCAAAAGAAATGTGTGGAAAAGCAGTTTTTAGTAGAAATGTAATTCTTCACTTACACATGGATGTTTTAGAAGAAAACAGCAAGGTTTTGCTTAAGAATTACATTGTGATTTTTAAGAGTCTCTCTGGGTGGTCTTTGCTTACGAGAAGAAGATCAACCTGTAAAGACGTGACAGGAAAACGACAGCTTCATGTGTTTCTCCAGAGTACTTCGCCTTGTGATACAATGGTTTATGTTCAGTTTTAACTACAAAACAAAATGAAGTCAGCAATGTTTGTCTATATTCCAAAAATATAAAAACAAAAAACATTCGCTGAATGCGCACCGCTGCACCAAGTACATAGTTATCTTTTTGTTTTCTTCATGAAGATTTCATCACACGTACAGCGTACTACATTTCCCATAATCCTTTTGACCATAACATCATCTTTTACATCACAGCTCAGGTCAATGCTGTTCAAAGGCATTATGGGGCACATTATACCCCGAACCAGCAAACACTGTAGGTTTATATACAACATCAATATATCATTACAGTGGGCAAGACTGGAGCCAGGGAGCCTCATAATAGCAGGAACATTGTGTGCAACTCGGTTTTCTCCAATATGATGAAAAACCAGGAGGAAATGTCTCCTTTTTCACAGAATGCAGACATATTTATAAATGGGCTATGATACTGACTGACAAGGTTCCTGTCTGGGTGGCGTTTTAGAGAAGATCACTGTTCTAGTTGGTCATTATCACTTTGTCACTTTGTGTTATTATGGCATTGGGGTAACTGATGAAAGTAAAACTGTTTGTGCAAGGGACAAGAATCCCCCCCAAAGAAAACCTAAATTGTCCTATTTAGCATTAGCCTTTAAAGATAACATAGGAAATTCAAAGTACTCTAAGTATATTAATAAAAGACTTGATTTCTTGAATTAATGCTGCAGTCTATTTCAGGTTGACACAATAAATTTGCCTTCTCTGATCTCATAAACCCTTGGTCAAGTAGTAGGAATCTATGGAAACATTGCACAGTTCTTGCCATTGCAACGATGATGACCCATCGACAGGCATCCTAGAAATGTTTATGACCAGTCAGCGTCACAGAAATGTAAAAGAAGTAATAAATAAACAAGCCACTGTAATTACTGTATGTTATTCATTTCCATGGGGAGTCACAGACCTGACTAGGACGATGTTCTCATGACGAAGGGTTTATAATTACAAATTTGGTCCCCGGTGTTTCGGGTAAATGCCATGACAATGAACTGATCCAGAAGGGACCCATTTAACATGGAGTTTCAGTAGCATTCAAGCACATGCACGACGACTTTGTTCATAACACATTATGGCATGTTCATAATGCTTTATGAGGTCACTTAATTGCCCATGCCAACTTAGAACTGACATTTAACATGGCACTGACATGGCTCGCATTAATTATGATAATTCAGGGCTTCCAAGTATAATCATAAAGCAACCATATGTATGAATATCTTGTGTGTATTTTGCTCGGTGTCGAATTCTTGAAACCCCCCCAAAATACATAAAGTTTCACCCAACCAACAGTGCCAGCTTGTCAGATTCTCAAAAAAAAAATCATTAAATTCATCAGTGCCTGCCACAGAACCATGACTTTAAAATTGCAAACAAGCATGTTTGTGACAATGGGCTGATTTAAACTCTTTTACGCTTAAGACCAAAGCAGAAATCAGATATCCTCTGCTTAGTATATATACAGTAATATTCCACTGAAAATAATTGATTTTGCTCATATTACCCTAGAATATTCATACAAGTATATGAACAGAAAAACACCAACAGACTGAATACATTTTTTGGTTTACATTATTCAATAATCTCTTTTAGTTTTATAAACAATCTTTTTATACAAATCTCATCATTGCGGGATATATTTATACATTTTTTGTAATTCAGCTACTCTGAGAATTTGCTGGGTGAATGTTAATTTGGGGTTGACCTTCGCGACCAATGGGTGGACAGTTTGACTCAAAGGTCCAACTTCCACAATCCAGTGCTGAACATGACCAGTTCAATTCCAAACTTTTGGAACCGGAAGTATGTTTCAAAACTTAAAATGCTGTATAAACACTTCAAGAAATAAGGCTTGCATGTTTTATGTATGCAAATTGAAATTTATCAGCCAAATAAAAAGAGGAAGGAGCTGAAATACATTTTTATAAAAGTACAGCCACAATGTAGATGATATTATGTCTCAAAGGGGGAGGGACTCCCAGTGCTTAGGTGACTCCCCGACTCACCTCTCGTTTTAATCAAAAGAAGAAGAAGAAGCCAGAGGGGAATTTTGACCTTTTCTGAAAGATTTTCCCATGTGCCCGAGGATCCGTGTGCAGGAACAGAGACCAATGCACGCACACAGACACGGGTTTGTGACATAATGGTTCAAACACAGCCATATAATTTGAACTCTTTAAAAAATAAATAAATGAGAAAAACAGAGATTTAAAAGCCATGTTACTGACATACTGGATGGATGGGTGGGTAGTACATAGGAAGACACTGGGAAACAAGGAGGAGTCATGAGACATTAAGATGACGAGGCTCCAGCAATACAGTAACAAAGGCAAGCAGGTTGACGTCATGACTTCTCAGTGCCACTTACACACACTAGGGGGCGGCGACGTGCGCAGGGCGGCGGCCCCAAAAAATGAATGTAAAAGCACTTACAGAGAACCCTCAAGTGTGACTGTCCCCTGAAAGTGAGGGGGGCTTTTCTGGTGAAATCCATCCACCTGGATCAGTGGGAATCCGTGCACTAGATGGGGAGTCACTGATTGCCCCGGGCTGCCCTCTGTCCAAACGGGAGGGGGTGAGGAGGGGTTGTCCAAAAATGACCAAATAAATTTCCACAGGCACCTTAGCACTTCTCAGTGCTGATGACATTGCATGTGCCCTTATAGCAGAGGAACAAAAGACACAGAAGCAACAGCCAAAGCGAAGAGAAAAAAAACAAAAATAAAAACAGATAACGAACAACATGTGCCATCTACTTGTGGGATCTTCTGACAGAATCACCATCACAGCCAGGTGTATCCCAAAACAATCGGTGGTGGTCAGTTTTCCATCCGTATTTACACACTGCATCCAGGGAGCTCTGACGTACAGTATTTCTTAAAGGACGATATATTTTTTCTTTACTTGTTTTTTTTCTCAATTTTGTTTTCTCTCTTTTTCTCATGGTTTTGGTCACAGGGTAGCTTGCTATGATTGTTTTTGTGCGGCCGAGGGGCTCCCATATTACGCTTTGCTGTCGTCTTCCTTTGTCTGGATGCTGCCGTCGCCGTGAACTTTGATCTCGATGGCGTCCGTCTTGAGGACGTCTTTGCCATTTTCTTCTTTCAGCGGCAGCTTCCTGTCGGCAAAGCATCGAAAGGTTTCACCGTAGAGCCACAAGTGACCTCCCCACCCCCCCCAACACGGCACCACCCCGTCGATAATAGGTACTTAGATACTAGCTGGATACAAGTTAACTGACAAAATAAACCTTTTCTTGTCTAAACAGAAGCCATTTTGGAGACAGATTATAGCATAGATATATAGCAGAAAGACTGCCCCCAGCGGCAGAGGCAGAGTGGGCAGTGTTAATTTAACACTGAGGGTGTTAACTGTGTTAGAACAGAGTTGCTGGTCTGGCTGAAAGCATGTCTACAAATAAAGTGAATATTGGTGTCCTGCCCGTCAGTAATGACTCTGTTTGGCTTGACACTCAATAAAGGTGTTCTTCCTGAGTGCGGCCATTATGATTATGATATGAATAACGTTTGTAATTATGACTATGGAGATCAGTCCACCTCACAATGGGTGTACCATTTAAGCCCCCCCCCCCGCTGCCATTGGGTAGCCCAAGCAGTGTTTCAGCGGGCTTTCTGGATTGGCTCTTGCTTTGATTCTCTGTGCCACATCTGGCTTCAGAATCGACATCGACTGCCAAGTCTGACACAGTCCTGGGTATCAATAAATGGGAGCGAAAAATGAGTGAAGCGAAGAAAAGGATAAACACAGATAAATGTACTGGATGATGTATGCACACTTTATTTTGATTTATTTTTTTGCTTTGCATTTCGTTTATACCTGAACAAACAGGTGCAAACAAGGATCCTAGGAAAAGAATGTGGTTCTGTACCATTATAGCTAATTTCCACCACCTCCCCCAGCCCACACCCCCAAATGATCAGGTGATCTGGGGTGGTCGACAGGAAATGTAGGTGAGTGTTGGAATTGCAGAGTTATCATTGATAGCCGCTGGCCACTTTCCAGTGAAGGAGCAAGGACAAGAGGAAACCAGCAAGTCAATTTAAGCAGCTGTCGATGTCCTCATCTGGTGGCCAGTGGCAATTTTTTTCCTGCAGTAGCTACATACCCTAGACAGAATGTGGAGTTTTCTGTCATGATCGTGGAAACGTTGCACTAGCATTAGCCTTAGGGGATGTAAGCTAACCAAAGTCATTCAACTCGAAACAGCTAATTTTTAACAGCAGGAATGCAACCTGCCATATGCAACATTGCAAATGGGCTTCTTGTGGAAATCAAGCTTTCATCCAAAGTGGGCCCCTAGGGAGTGGGGGTGATCTTTCATACATGTGCACATTATCATTAACTCATGTTAGCCGGCTGAAGTCATTTGACTCAAAACGGCTAATTTTCAATGGCAAGGATGCAGCAAGCTTCTTAGCATGCCGGAAGCGGTCAGCAAGTCGGGCTCACATCTGAAGCAGGCGCTGCGCGAGTAGGAGGTCCGCTCCTTAATACAGTACATGTACACATTAGCGTTAGTGCGAAGTCATTCAACTTGAAACAGCCAATTTTTAACAGCAGGGATGCGGAACGCCTTCTTAACATGTCGGAAGCTATCAAGAAGTTGGGTTTCCATCTGAACTGGGCTCTGTGCGAGTGAGGAGGTGCTCAGCTCCTTCACACATGTGCACACGTTAACGGGGTGAAGTCATTCGACTGAAGGTGGTCCGTTCCTTTGTATATGTGCGCTTAGCCATGCTGGGAGTGCGTCCTTTTGCACCCTGAAGTGAGGTGACCGTCGATGGCCGTCTGCGTGCTCTCTGAATCTGGCGCTGCTAGTTCCTCTATCCAGCCAATCGCCACGAGGCCCGGGCAGAGAGGCGGTCCTTACTCTGGCTCTGTCAGAGGTGTGGTCTCATTGGGCTCGTTCACCGGGCTGCCGTCGTCCGGATTTGTTATTCGCTCCTCTTCAGTTCGCATCTCAACAATGGGCTCCTTCGACCCATCGCCCCTGCGCACACGCATGCGCGCAGACACACACGCAGGTCCGGCCGTACACACGCACACACACACACACGCGCGGGGATTAGAAGCCAAACTACACCGCAGACAAATAGAAGAAAAAAAGTTTAAGAGAAGGAGTAGCTCCTAAATCCCTGAGGTGCAGGAGGGGGGTGGCGGACTCGTCATGATGCCGAATTATCGGAACGTTAGGTCTCTCCGAGCCGCTGAATTGAACTTGTGTGTTTGGGGGGGTGGCATGAGGCTCTATTGGAGCGTGGCGGTATAGGAAGAGGCTAGGGGGAGTGGGTGGGGGGGAGGTGAAAGATAATTTTATGTTTCTCACGTTACCCTGAAAAGATCCCTGATGGCACATGGCTTGTTGCCTGGACTTGGGGCTGTTCTTAAGGAGGGTAATTGAAATCATCCTCAGCACCAGCCCAGACATATAAATACCACAGGAGCTGGGGGGGGGGGCGGGTGCAAACTTGCTGCCTTGATTTCTTAATCATGTCAGTGGAAGATGTGAGTGAACACAGACGGGACTGATCTAGGGATGGGAGTATTAGGGAGGACAACCAAGGCATGAAGTCATTACACCCAAGCCTGATGTGCTCCTGAAAGCCTGGGAGATGTTTTCTTGAGTAATTTATATAATGAGCCGTGCAGTATAATCATATAACCACAAAGGGTGAAAAATGACAAGGCACAATGGATATTATGAATATTAAAATGGGATCCAGGACAATAACAACGGCAGTAAAATTACATGTAAATATTCATAATAAAAGATTGGCTTTTATAGTAACAATTTTTATGGGATTTGTGGGGCATTTGTTTGGGAGTGAAGGTGGCTGAGAAGGATGTATAGCTAAATACATTAGAGGTGAGTGAGCATGGCATTATGGGAAAAGGAGCAGTGGCGGGGGGGGGGAGTCACTCACAGGTAGGCCGCCTTCCCCTCCTCGATGTCCTTGCTCTTTCCGCTGGTGGTGGTTTTCTTGCTGCACAGCTTCCTGGTGATGCACATGAGCAGGCCACACTGCCTGAGGAAGAAGCAGCTGACGTCCACCACGACCAGGACCAGCAGCAGGCCGGCCAGGCCTAGCCCCACCACGGCGCCCAGACCCAGGCCACTGAACAGGGAGTCTGCTGAGACAGGACAATGTACAGAGGTCACCACCCACCCAATCACACGGCCAGCCTCTCTCTTCCAGCAATCACAAGCAACATCACCAAAAAAACTCCATGGTTTGCTGCCCTACCATGGAAAATACCAGAACCTCTCTCGCCAGCAGGGCTTCCCTCTTTCCAGGACCGTGATGGACATCTTTAATGAACTTGCATTGTTCATTTCCCTAGTCAAGAAGAACTACTTCCCTTGGGATACAGATCCATTAGGGAAGGACACTAATCAGAATCCAATGTGGTTTCTTCCAAATCCACAACTGGCTCACTCTCTGTTGGGATAAGTTGCACTATGAGGATGGACCATCTGCTGATCCTGGGAGTATCGGTCTTTCTTTCAATGTACTTCTCCCAACATTCATTGCAACACCCACTGCATCACAGAGCTGATCCCGAAATTCCACTAGCTAAAGAAATTGTTTAATACTCAGTTCATAGCTTTGATTCTGTTAACAATCTGGTTAATAATCTATTTATGATCCCATTTTTGGGCCCTTGAACAAGGCCCTTTACCCTCAATTGCTCCAGGAACTGGCTGGCCCTATTTCTCAAAAATGTACATCGCTTTGGATTGAAGCATCTCCTAATTAAACAAATGTTCTTTTTTTGTGCGTGTGATCATTCTGCTGTGATGAAATAAAGGGTGAAGACTCCCTTCCGAGGGTTGACTCCAGGCTGGTCCATTCTGGATGTGAAAACAACATATGTCCCTCTTATCCGTGACAACCGCAGGGGTGCACGTCCCCTTCCGGCCCCTTGCGCTGGGATTCTGCTCACGTGCTGTCGGCTTCAGCAGGAACACAGGAAGGAGGCGGATGCTGGAGAGAGCCGCCAGTTGAGATCCCTGTGAGGGCCTCGGTGACAGAGGTTAACCAAGTGGCAGCCGTGGGGAGAACGAGGGCTGCGGCTGCAGGGTGAGCGAGAGCTACCCAGGAGAGGCGGGTCGCCCCCAGCAACCAAATCAACCGCTCTAACAGGCGTGTGCTAATAGATCAGCACTGCTTCATTCCAAGCACTGGACTGCAAGGTTAAAAAAAAAAAACCATTGCACTCAAATAAATAAAATAAACAATAAATAAATTGTGCTTTGCTGAAGTTGGTCAGTTTTGTGTGTCACATAGACAGAAAATGCCAGTGGCTTCCCATGCTGTAGGAGCCAAGGCTTGACCTGAGTGTAATAAGCAGGTAAAACAATATAATGTACTGTACAGCATGTTCCAGAACACAGCAGACAGAAGTAAAAGGCAAACTGTCTTGCATACTCTGAGACTTTGTCTCAAGTAAACAGTTTGCAAGCTGTTTTTTCATGAATCTGAGGTGAATGAACAAACACATGAATGATATGCAATTTATTTTGCAGCCCTTGATATTTTACACCTATCTGTGGTCTTCAGCTTTATACGTATAAAATGTGTTCTCCTGTGTTTCCTGTATACTTTACCGTAAAGTAAAAAAAAATGTGCCCATCATCCTAGTGAATAACCATGGAAAGATTTGAATTGGAAATATTGTCTTGATATGCAGAAATTGTTCCTTGCATGATTTCACATTACTGCATAAATGCAGATTCTAAATAAAGCTGAGACTGTTTGAGTGTTTACTGTTATAATTTTAACAGATTAAAATTACTTTATGATTAAAGATGAAATGATTAATATGTTGTTGCCTTGGTCAGTGATTTGACTCATTTTCACAATCTTTAGTCATCAGCCTCCCACTGACGGTGACACATTGAGCAGAGCAGGTGAAAACAGCGACTGTTGCATTTTTGAACGTGTTTGTCAAGGTCTGTGGGCTTAGTGTGCTGGTGCAGAGAGACGGGGGGCTCTGTTTTCGTCTTACATTTTGCTCCTCTTAAAGACAGCCTTCTTTATGTCTCCTGATAGCTACTGCTCTGAATTTGTTTTGCAGACATATGCAAAGGAGGGAAATTGGCTTAGCTGAGAGGAAGCTAAGAGGAGATGCGTAAAAATAACATGAGTTTTTGGTGGAAGGGGCATGGATTTGATAGCAGGAATGTGGCTGTTCAGAATACAACATTTGTGTTAGATTTCTTTTGATGTGAGGCAGCTAGCTTCACTGAAAATATTAACATGAATCCAAAACGTTATTTAGTCCAACCTGAAAGAGTCCAGGCGTAATTTTATATTGGTAACATTTTACTTAAAGCAGTTATCATAATGAATTATAGATTCATTCATAATGCTTTATAATGCATTCATAAAGTATTATTAACAGGGCTAGAAATATTTATAAATAGGCATAGCACATTATATCCATGTTTATAATGTATTATAGATACCCTCATAATGCATTTTAATGGTCAGTATAAGCCATTATAATACATTATAAAGGTATTTAGAGTTCATAATAGATGAGAACTTCATAGAACTTTTGTAATGTATAATTAACATGGCTATAATGTGTTATGCCTCTTTATAAGTAGTTATAGCTGTGTTTATAATATTTGGTATCTATAATGCATTATACATGAATGCTTTAAGTAAAGTTAAAATTTCTATAATTTTAAAAGTCATTTATCTTATCTAAGGAAATGTGTGTTGTGTATTTACCTCCATCAAGGTTTAAGCATTGGTGATGATGGGAATTACCAGTCTACCTTGTTTAAAGTCTTTCTTAAGCGAAGCTGTATTTGGCTTGTGATGCGTTAAGTTAAGGAGCTGTTATCCTGGATATTTTCCAGATGGTTATGAAAGCACAAGCCTCAAGGCACAACACGATTTCCCACAAATAGAGCAGGAAGCTAATTGCCTTATCTGCCTCATCTGCCGAGTAAACAGATTCCTTCCAGTGTCCATTCGGGAGAAAGTTTACTCTGATTACCAATCAGAATCCCTTGATTTGGTTCCTAAGTCTAATATCACAAAATTTCATTATGGGTACTGCGGAGGCGGACACCCGCGCAGTATGGTCACCATAAGCAGTTTTTTAGATGAGTTCACGCCCCTTCAGGCGGCCAGAACAATCGATGTCCTGCAACGGCACACAGTTACATCAAAACATTCCCGGAAAGGAAAGCAATCGAGCAGCTTGTCATCTTTTTATATCTCCAACTCTGAATGGAACAGCTAAGTGCTTTGTGCAAACCGTCAAGGCGGCTGTATTGGGCAGGAAAATCCTGAAAATTAAAATGAACATACAGCAGGTCTTTATACTTTACAAATGGAAGGGGCTGAAAGATGTATGAGGGAAATGCACAGTAAGCTGTCCTGTAGCAGACAGAAATTCTTGTACAGCAGGTGTTTGATAGATGACCTTGTACCCGAATGGATTTAGCGAATCCCAATTTGAGAGCAGAGATTTGTTTTGGGAGGGAGAAGCAGGCAATATTGCATGATAATAATATTGTTCTAACAAAACAGCTTGTGAGTTCACTTTGGATTAGTCTTTTGCAGTTTGAAATTACCATGGAATACCAAAGTATTTTCTGGGATGAACCGTCAAGTGTCCAATTTATAAAGCTGAGCCTAACAGGAAACAAAATACTGGTTGTGAGAGAGACAACAAGGTCGACGACCACGAGGCCCCAAAAACCATTACAGACAGATAGATGTGTTTTGGATTGCAGCTGTTCAAACTGAAAAAAGAAAGCTGACCTCAAACACACACCTGAATCTGAAGTATACAAACTTTCATAAATATGAAATAGATACAGGCTCTTCCCAGTAAATACAAAACTGTAAAACAGAACCACCAACAACTCACCCTGGGACTCGCTTGTGACTTAAATAGAGATGTGATGCTTGAAATGTAATGCTTTTTAAATCCTGTTGACGGAGTAGTGGTTGTGATTTCTAGCAATTTATGTCTACAGGGTACAGTAAAAAATTGTTCTAGAAGAAGTCAAGTTGAGGAGTACTAGGAATCAAACACAGAATAAGGCATGGAACACCATGACAAAATTAAGTTTTATTTTTATGCAAATTCCAACTTATGTGGATTAATTAATGGCCGTGTGGACATGTATTGTGTTAAAACACAGTAGGTAAAATCCAGAATGTGGTCAAAGGATGGGAATGATCCTTGTCATCCGTGAGTTCCTGAGTCATCCATCTTTGACCACTTGACCTCTCTGCCCTCCAAGTTGGGGCTTTAGAATTTCCCTTCATCCCCAGTTTCTATGGGTGTCAGGATCAGCTATATTTAACATCATTTTAAGTGGGTGAAAACTTACACCATATGGTCAGAAGACTCCTTTCATTAGATATGAGCGTTTATAATTGGGATCAGGTTGATTAGGACTGAAAAGTAATATCAAGCTTAGGCATAATTGCTTAGGGACGATTTTGCTGCTATTTGGCCCTGGACCACAGACGTTGTTTTTTTTAAAGTACCAAATGGTTTTTTGCGGCCTGTTGTTTGCCATTTTCCACTCTTATTTTAATAGCTTGTAATTTTACCTGATCTCATGTGAGCCTGTGATATTATATGGCTGCTGCATCAAGTACTTTGGGTATTTTTATGTTAAAGGGACTATATAAAAATTTAAACTGAATGGGACGACCCTGATTTGAGAGTGTGGGTGCTGGCCGAGCCTTCAGTCGAACGGCATCGGCTGGTGCGTTGGCTTTCATTTTGGTTTGGTGACGAACCATCAGGCATAACAAATTAGGCAGTCACATGGCAAGGGGAAACCAGCAAAGGCTAAATGCAGTCTGAGTGCTGCGATGGTTTTTATTTGTTAATGTTGATTGACCATCAGCCCCATGCTGACAGAAGTCCCAGTTTATGGAGCCCAGCTGGATCTGATTGTGCGAGTCAGAATCTTCAGCATAAAAGCGATCACATAAGTAGTATTAACAGCAGAACAACAAGTGAAGGCTAATGGCGATTAGCCTTTCCGCTTTCCCGCTCGACACTGCGTGAGGTGTGCTCTTCTTTGCGTGGGCTTTTACAGCTTGATTTTTCCGCCTCTTATGCCATTTTATGTCCGCTATTCATTATTAAAATTGGCTTCCTTGTGCTTTTCCGCCCATCTGACCCACCCACGAAGCAGGGCCTGTGCAACATCCCTCCACTGGCCTGCATCGTGACACACCAGTTTGCCAAACAACAGGAAAACGTCAGCGTCCTTCCGTCGATGTAATGCTGCCGTGAAACACGGTTACCCGCATCGCTAATCCAATAAGTCTATTGTTCAGCCATTGTGGAGCCAGGTTGCAGAAGTATTAACATCATCAAAGTGCACTTACAGCCTTAAAGTGACGGAGTGCCGTGGTACTTGACTCGATTTAAATAAAGCTTTATCTAGATTCGGCTGATTTGGTGGACAATTTAATGAGGGCAATTTTACAAAGTCCCATTTTAGGAGCTCAAAGTGTATTTCCTTTATGGGTTATACTTGTTTCTATCTCTGTTGATGCATGTGGCTAGGCCTAAAAATGCATCCTATGGGACATCACATAATCTAATAGAATCTTCTGGTAAATAACCTAGTCTGGCAAATTAATCTTAATGTGGACAGTCTGGTTCGATAGAATGTCTCCAGCCATTTCCTTCTCCGGGTTCATGTTCAAAAACACGATAAATTTCCATGCTTCACATCATATGGTAAGAGTTATTTAAGATTCACTTCTAATTATTAGATTAATAATTGTGATGCTTAAATGTTGCACTACAGAAGTGGACGAAATTAGCCAGAGGCTAATTTCCACTGGGGTGATTGTAGCCCCCATACTGCTCAATGATTCACCAGGTAATGGTCACAGGAGATGTAGAAATTTCTAGAATTTGTTGAAACCTGCTGCATATCATAGTGTCATCTTTGGGGTTAAGCTGCCTCAGAAGAACTCTTCATGAATAATTAGAACATGTTCAGAGTATTTGATGGTCCCAGAGTTAGCAGGATCGTTTGGTGTGTGAGCTTACTGATGTCGATGAGAATCGCACTGAGAGAACTCCATAATGCTCTTGCACTGCTGTATTGAAAAAACCTCCCCTTGTCATTAAAAAAAAGCAGGAAATGGATTGTAGGTGCTGAAGATTAACCCCANGCAAACTTGCTGCCTTGATTTCTTAATCATGTCAGTGGAAGATGTGAGTGAACACAGACGGGACTGATCTAGGGATGGGAGTATTAGGGAGGACAACCAAGGCATGAAGTCATTACACCCAAGCCTGATGTGCTCCTGAAAGCCTGGGAGATGTTTTCTTGAGTAATTTATATAATGAGCCGTGCAGTATAATCATATAACCACAAAGGGTGAAAAATGACAAGGCACAATGGATATTATGAATATTAAAATGGGATCCAGGACAATAACAACGGCAGTAAAATTACATGTAAATATTCATAATAAAAGATTGGCTTTTATAGTAACAATTTTTATGGGATTTGTGGGGCATTTGTTTGGGAGTGAAGGTGGCTGAGAAGGATGTATAGCTAAATACATTAGAGGTGAGTGAGCATGGCATTATGGGAAAAGGAGCAGTGGCGGGGGGGTGGAGTCACTCACAGGTAGGCCGCCTTCCCCTCCTCGATGTCCTTGCTCTTTCCGCTGGTGGTGGTTTTCTTGCTGCACAGCTTCCTGGTGATGCACATGAGCAGGCCACACTGCCTGAGGAAGAAGCAGCTGACGTCCACCACGACCAGGACCAGCAGCAGGCCGGCCAGGCCTAGCCCCACCACGGCGCCCAGACCCAGGCCACTGAACAGGGAGTCTGCTGAGACAGGACAATGTACAGAGGTCACCACCCACCCAATCACACGGCCAGCCTCTCTCTTCCAGCAATCACAAGCAACATCACCAAAAAAACTCCATGGTTTGCTGCCCTACCATGGAAAATACCAGAACCTCTCTCGCCAGCAGGGCTTCCCTCTTTCCAGGACCGTGATGGACATCTTTAATGAACTTGCATTGTTCATTTCCCTAGTCAAGAAGAACTACTTCCCTTGGGATACAGATCCATTAGGGAAGGACACTAATCAGAATCCAATGTGGTTTCTTCCAAATCCACAACTGGCTCACTCTCTGTTGGGATAAGTTGCACTATGAGGATGGACCATCTGCTGATCCTGGGAGTATCGGTCTTTCTTTCAATGTACTTCTCCCAACATTCATTGCAACACCCACTGCATCACAGAGCTGATCCCGAAATTCCACTAGCTAAAGAAATTGTTTAATACTCAGTTCATAGCTTTGATTCTGTTAACAATCTGGTTAATAATCTATTTATGATCCCATTTTTGGGCCCTTGAACAAGGCCCTTTACCCTCAATTGCTCCAGGAACTGGCTGGCCCTATTTCTCAAAAATGTACATCGCTTTGGATTGAAGCATCTCCTAATTAAACAAATGTTCTTTTTTTGTGCGTGTGATCATTCTGCTGTGATGAAATAAAGGGTGAAGACTCCCTTCCGAGGGTTGACTCCAGGCTGGTCCATTCTGGATGTGAAAACAACATATGTCCCTCTTATCCGTGACAACCGCAGGGGTGCACGTCCCCTTCCGGCCCCTTGCGCTGGGATTCTGCTCACGTGCTGTCGGCTTCAGCAGGAACACAGGAAGGAGGCGGATGCTGGAGAGAGCCGCCAGTTGAGATCCCTGTGAGGGCCTCGGTGACAGAGGTTAACCAAGTGGCAGCCGTGGGGAGAACGAGGGCTGCGGCTGCAGGGTGAGCGAGAGCTACCCAGGAGAGGCGGGTCGCCCCCAGCAACCAAATCAACCGCTCTAACAGGCGTGTGCTAATAGATCAGCACTGCTTCATTCCAAGCACTGGACTGCAAGGTTAAAAAAAAAAAACCATTGCACTCAAATAAATAAAATAAACAATAAATAAATTGTGCTTTGCTGAAGTTGGTCAGTTTTGTGTGTCACATAGACAGAAAATGCCAGTGGCTTCCCATGCTGTAGGAGCCAAGGCTTGACCTGAGTGTAATAAGCAGGTAAAACAATATAATGTACTGTACAGCATGTTCCAGAACACAGCAGACAGAAGTAAAAGGCAAACTGTCTTGCATACTCTGAGACTTTGTCTCAAGTAAACAGTTTGCAAGCTGTTTTTTCATGAATCTGAGGTGAATGAACAAACACATGAATGATATGCAATTTATTTTGCAGCCCTTGATATTTTACACCTATCTGTGGTCTTCAGCTTTATACGTATAAAATGTGTTCTCCTGTGTTTCCTGTATACTTTACCGTAAAGTAAAAAAAAATGTGCCCATCATCCTAGTGAATAACCATGGAAAGATTTGAATTGGAAATATTGTCTTGATATGCAGAAATTGTTCCTTGCATGATTTCACATTACTGCATAAATGCAGATTCTAAATAAAGCTGAGACTGTTTGAGTGTTTACTGTTATAATTTTAACAGATTAAAATTACTTTATGATTAAAGATGAAATGATTAATATGTTGTTGCCTTGGTCAGTGATTTGACTCATTTTCACAATCTTTAGTCATCAGCCTCCCACTGACGGTGACACATTGAGCAGAGCAGGTGAAAACAGCGACTGTTGCATTTTTGAACGTGTTTGTCAAGGTCTGTGGGCTTAGTGTGCTGGTGCAGAGAGACGGGGGGCTCTGTTTTCGTCTTACATTTTGCTCCTCTTAAAGACAGCCTTCTTTATGTCTCCTGATAGCTACTGCTCTGAATTTGTTTTGCAGACATATGCAAAGGAGGGAAATTGGCTTAGCTGAGAGGAAGCTAAGAGGAGATGCGTAAAAATAACATGAGTTTTTGGTGGAAGGGGCATGGATTTGATAGCAGGAATGTGGCTGTTCAGAATACAACATTTGTGTTAGATTTCTTTTGATGTGAGGCAGCTAGCTTCACTGAAAATATTAACATGAATCCAAAACGTTATTTAGTCCAACCTGAAAGAGTCCAGGCGTAATTTTATATTGGTAACATTTTACTTAAAGCAGTTATCATAATGAATTATAGATTCATTCATAATGCTTTATAATGCATTCATAAAGTATTATTAACAGGGCTAGAAATATTTATAAATAGGCATAGCACATTATATCCATGTTTATAATGTATTATAGATACCCTCATAATGCATTTTAATGGTCAGTATAAGCCATTATAATACATTATAAAGGTATTTAGAGTTCATAATAGATGAGAACTTCATAGAACTTTTGTAATGTATAATTAACATGGCTATAATGTGTTATGCCTCTTTATAAGTAGTTATAGCTGTGTTTATAATATTTGGTATCTATAATGCATTATACATGAATGCTTTAAGTAAAGTTAAAATTTCTATAATTTTAAAAGTCATTTATCTTATCTAAGGAAATGTGTGTTGTGTATTTACCTCCATCAAGGTTTAAGCATTGGTGATGATGGGAATTACCAGTCTACCTTGTTTAAAGTCTTTCTTAAGCGAAGCTGTATTTGGCTTGTGATGCGTTAAGTTAAGGAGCTGTTATCCTGGATATTTTCCAGATGGTTATGAAAGCACAAGCCTCAAGGCACAACACGATTTCCCACAAATAGAGCAGGAAGCTAATTGCCTTATCTGCCTCATCTGCCGAGTAAACAGATTCCTTCCAGTGTCCATTCGGGAGAAAGTTTACTCTGATTACCAATCAGAATCCCTTGATTTGGTTCCTAAGTCTAATATCACAAAATTTCATTATGGGTACTGCGGAGGCGGACACCCGCGCAGTATGGTCACCATAAGCAGTTTTTTAGATGAGTTCACGCCCCTTCAGGCGGCCAGAACAATCGATGTCCTGCAACGGCACACAGTTACATCAAAACATTCCCGGAAAGGAAAGCAATCGAGCAGCTTGTCATCTTTTTATATCTCCAACTCTGAATGGAACAGCTAAGTGCTTTGTGCAAACCGTCAAGGCGGCTGTATTGGGCAGGAAAATCCTGAAAATTAAAATGAACATACAGCAGGTCTTTATACTTTACAAATGGAAGGGGCTGAAAGATGTATGAGGGAAATGCACAGTAAGCTGTCCTGTAGCAGACAGAAATTCTTGTACAGCAGGTGTTTGATAGATGACCTTGTACCCGAATGGATTTAGCGAATCCCAATTTGAGAGCAGAGATTTGTTTTGGGAGGGAGAAGCAGGCAATATTGCATGATAATAATATTGTTCTAACAAAACAGCTTGTGAGTTCACTTTGGATTAGTCTTTTGCAGTTTGAAATTACCATGGAATACCAAAGTATTTTCTGGGATGAACCGTCAAGTGTCCAATTTATAAAGCTGAGCCTAACAGGAAACAAAATACTGGTTGTGAGAGAGACAACAAGGTCGACGACCACGAGGCCCCAAAAACCATTACAGACAGATAGATGTGTTTTGGATTGCAGCTGTTCAAACTGAAAAAAGAAAGCTGACCTCAAACACACACCTGAATCTGAAGTATACAAACTTTCATAAATATGAAATAGATACAGGCTCTTCCCAGTAAATACAAAACTGTAAAACAGAACCACCAACAACTCACCCTGGGACTCGCTTGTGACTTAAATAGAGATGTGATGCTTGAAATGTAATGCTTTTTAAATCCTGTTGACGGAGTAGTGGTTGTGATTTCTAGCAATTTATGTCTACAGGGTACAGTAAAAAATTGTTCTAGAAGAAGTCAAGTTGAGGAGTACTAGGAATCAAACACAGAATAAGGCATGGAACACCATGACAAAATTAAGTTTTATTTTTATGCAAATTCCAACTTATGTGGATTAATTAATGGCCGTGTGGACATGTATTGTGTTAAAACACAGTAGGTAAAATCCAGAATGTGGTCAAAGGATGGGAATGATCCTTGTCATCCGTGAGTTCCTGAGTCATCCATCTTTGACCACTTGACCTCTCTGCCCTCCAAGTTGGGGCTTTAGAATTTCCCTTCATCCCCAGTTTCTATGGGTGTCAGGATCAGCTATATTTAACATCATTTTAAGTGGGTGAAAACTTACACCATATGGTCAGAAGACTCCTTTCATTAGATATGAGCGTTTATAATTGGGATCAGGTTGATTAGGACTGAAAAGTAATATCAAGCTTAGGCATAATTGCTTAGGGACGATTTTGCTGCTATTTGGCCCTGGACCACAGACGTTGTTTTTTTTAAAGTACCAAATGGTTTTTTGCGGCCTGTTGTTTGCCATTTTCCACTCTTATTTTAATAGCTTGTAATTTTACCTGATCTCATGTGAGCCTGTGATATTATATGGCTGCTGCATCAAGTACTTTGGGTATTTTTATGTTAAAGGGACTATATAAAAATTTAAACTGAATGGGACGACCCTGATTTGAGAGTGTGGGTGCTGGCCGAGCCTTCAGTCGAACGGCATCGGCTGGTGCGTTGGCTTTCATTTTGGTTTGGTGACGAACCATCAGGCATAACAAATTAGGCAGTCACATGGCAAGGGGAAACCAGCAAAGGCTAAATGCAGTCTGAGTGCTGCGATGGTTTTTATTTGTTAATGTTGATTGACCATCAGCCCCATGCTGACAGAAGTCCCAGTTTATGGAGCCCAGCTGGATCTGATTGTGCGAGTCAGAATCTTCAGCATAAAAGCGATCACATAAGTAGTATTAACAGCAGAACAACAAGTGAAGGCTAATGGCGATTAGCCTTTCCGCTTTCCCGCTCGACACTGCGTGAGGTGTGCTCTTCTTTGCGTGGGCTTTTACAGCTTGATTTTTCCGCCTCTTATGCCATTTTATGTCCGCTATTCATTA